GTATGCGCCACCACATCTGGCTAATTTTTGTATTTTTTTGTAGAGATGGGGCTGGTCTTGAACTCCTGGCTTCAAGCAATCCTCTGACTTGGCCTCCAGAAGTGCTGGGATTACAGGTGTGAGCCACTGCAGCTAGCCCCTCTTTATTTTACAGAGTTTGGGTTTTTTCCCTTTAACAGAATAATAGGAATAACAACAACAATATGATAACAACAAGGAGGAGGAGAAAAACTACTAATATTTACTGAATGCTTGCTATGTACCAGGACCTATTCCAAATGCTCTATATGTTTTAATTCATTTAATCCTTATCATAACTCTATGAGGTAGATACTGTTACTGGGGCCTATTTTACGGATGAGGAAACTGAGGCAGAGGATGGTCAAGAAACAACTAGTAGGTAGCGAAATTTAATTTTGAATATTGACACAGAAAATATGTAGAAAATTTCTAAATTAAGACAATAAGCACAGTGGCATAGGACTCAACCAAGAATGCTGGGCTTCCATCCTAGCCACTTCTTGCTAGCAGTGTGGAATTGGGCAAGTCACTTAACATCTCTGTGCCTCAACCTCCACATTTGAAAAATTGGGTTAATGGTGCCTATTTCAGTGTTATTATGAGAACTCAGCAAGTTAATATTCCCAAAGTTTGGCATAGACTGGGTGCTATTTAAGAGTTTGAAAATTTAGAATTTGGTGTTCACTATGGGATCATTTCCTTCTGTTCCTGCTATGCAACTCTTGCTATTCCGTTTGTGGCTTTTGCTTTAGGTTGCTATTACTGGGATTACTCTCCTCTTTTGTCTCCTGTTTTGTTTTACTTATCCTTTTCCCATCTTCCCCGTTATTACTTCTACTCTGTACTCCACGTTCTTATAACACGAAGATGTCCCTTCAACTCATGACTCGTGAATTTCTAGTGCTACTTCCCACTGACTCCCTGCTAATTGCAGAGTACCAGATTCCTAAACTGGCATCATGCTGTTAAGAGAAGAAAACTCAAACTCTGTGAGGTTTATTCTGAGCCTAATACGAGTGACCGTGGCTTGGAGCACATGGCCTCAAGAGGTCCTGAGAATATGTGCCCAAGGCAGCTGGGTTACAGTTTGACTTTATGCATTCATGGAAACAGGAATTACAAGTAAAATCATAAATCAATACATGGAAGGTGTACACCGGTTTGGCCTGAAAAGCAGAACATCTAGGGCAGAGGTTAACAGGTTATAGGTAAGTTCAGAGCCTTCGATTTGTAATTGTTGTTTGTAATTGGTTAAAGAAATGAGGCTTTGTCTAAAGGCTTGGAATGTTTTAAGTTAAGGAAGTCTGTTACTCAGAGATAAGCCTCAAGTAATCTGTTAATTGATGGCCTGCAGGTGTGGTTTAACCTTTGTCTTGCATGGCCTTAAGATTTAGTATTTTATTATTACAAAGAGTAACTCCAAAAGGGAAGGGGCATAAGGAGGTACGCCTGACCTCCCTTCTCCCCATGGCCAGCAACTCGGTTTTAAGGATTTTCTGGGGTCTCCATGGCCAAGGGGTCGATTCAGTCACCTGCGGGGCTTCGGATTTTATTTTGGTTCACAATGTCACGGCATCCTCCCTGGGAGAGAGGATATACGGTGGCAAGAACATTGTATGAATCCATTGACATTTAAATACCTCAGAGTGTATGGAAGACTCTTTGGGGCCTTTGGAAAGTCAGAGCAAGGTCCAACTAAGGTCTCATAGGGAACTGTAGGCAAGTCACAATCTATGTTTCTTCAAATGAAAAATGAATCTTATAACGTTGTTGTCCAGACAAAATCAGGGGATGCATGGTATGCACTTAAGAGTCTGGAGTTACTGTGTCTTATAGCAACATGGGGAAGTATACTACAGCAACAGTGACAAGAAGCATAAAAATACTGTGAGGAATGGGAGCAAAAAAGCATTAAGGGATAATAACAGGAATAAGAGGAGTGAATTCCTTCTAGTTTCTATTAATATGTAGTTGTGTTTAAGTGTAGAAATCTGAAGAAATTTCTGCCCCCTACTCCTGGCTTCTAGAGCTTCTAAAACCCTCACAAGTGGTGCTAAGAGCCTATTTTGCTATTCATAATACACCTTTTTTAACCATACCTGAGTTTTTGCTAATAAGGTGATTCTTGATGGGCCCCTAGGTAGCTTCAGGATGGCAGCTCATTGCTAGGGGGATCAGCCATGTGATTAGAGGCTGGAACTTTCAGCCCCACTCTCTAGCCTCCAGGCAGAAAAGAGTGACTAGAGATAGAGCTAATCATCAATGCCCGGTGATTTAATCAATCTTTACTATGTAATGAGGTTTTCCAGAAAACCCCTAAATGATGGGGTTCAGAGAGCTTCTGGCCCAGTGAACACATGGAAATGCTGGGAAGATGGTGTGCCCACAGAGGGCATGGAAGCTCCATGCCCCTTCCTACACGTGCTCACCCTATGTATTTCTTCATCTAGCTGTTCATTTATATTCTTTGTAATAAACCAGTAGATGTAAACAAATGTTTCCTTGAATTTATGAGCCATTATAGCAAGTTACCTAACATGAGGAGCGGGTAGTGGGGACTCCTGATTTATAGCTGCTTGGTCAGAAGTACAGATGACAACCCGGAACTTGTGATTGGAAGGGGACAGGCAGTCTTGCAGT